TTAAAACAATACAGAAAATCATGAAGCATATAGATTTAAACAACTTATATATCAACTCAACTTAATTAACATTTGTAGAGCCCTCCACCTAACAACTAATGATTACACTCTATTTTCACTGCTTGTAGAAGTTTCATTAAGATAGACAATATACAGGAGGTAATTTAAAAGAATTTGAAATTCTCTGATCACATTAGAACTTAAGAAGTCAGTAACAATAATATAGCTAGAAAATAAACATTTGGAAGTTAGGCATTACAATTCTAAAGAACCTATATGTGAGAGTAATCATGAGTCATGAACAATTTTAAAATATTTGAAATTTAATGATAACAACATCATAGAATTCTGGGGTGTCACTAAAGCAATGTGTGGAGGAAAATTATTGCTATATAAAATGCCTATTTTAGAAAAGAAAAAGGGTTTAAAATTATTTATCGAATTATTTATCATAAAACCAAGTCAATTGCCTTTCAGTCAATCCAGACTGATAAAGACTCATTAGGACAGAGTAGAACTGCTTCATAGGGTTTCTGAGACTAAATCTTCATGGGATGTTGTAGAGAAGAACCCACTCAGTCCATACCAATTGAATTTTAGAGAACTTAAGGAACTCTGGTAATGTAGTGGTTACAAATCAGGCTGCAAACCGCAAGGTCAGCAGTTCGAAACTACCAGCTGTTCTGTGGGAGAAAGAGGAGGCTTTCTGCTCCCGTAACGATTTACAGTCTTGGAAACCCAGGGTCGCTGTGAGTTGGCTCTGACTCCACAGCACACAACCACTGCCACCACCACCACCATTCAGAAAAAGGAAAAATTAGTATTGTAGGAAACACCAGTATACATCAATGAGAACTGATGACATCAACAAAAATTTTCTCACACAGATTGTTAGAGTTTAAGAAACAAAATAATTTTATTACAATTGTTTGACTTCTGAAATTTTGGTTGAGGTCACAAGTAGGATGAGCTAGGAATGTGCAATTGGCTACTTTTGGGTAACTAAATATAAAGAGTTGCAGTAATTGATTTCATGAACTAATTAGAGGGGTTTTCAATCATAGTTTTATAGTTTTCGGGTAGGGTCATAAAACACCAATGTTGGAAGTTTACATATGGCTAGTCACATATATCAAGAGTGCATGAAGATTCATCTTGGTATAAGGGTATCATTTCTCCCTAAACAACTTATTAATGCACAATTTTAAGTGCTCTGGGAAATGTCAACTAAAGCTAGCTTCAAGAAACTTTCAAGCAATTCTCCCACCACATCTTTGCCATAAAGAAATATTCCTCTGGCCCATTTCATACAAGAGATAACTGGGTCAAGATTCCTAACTTAACCTGAGAGAAGAGTGACCTTCCCATTTTTATGACTCCTAGCAATTAACCTGGAGTCACGGTGTGGTGCTGTGGGCTAATGCGTTGGACTGCAAAGTTGCTTTGAACCACAAGGTCAGTGCTTCAAGCTCACCAGCTGCTTCTTGGAAACCCTATACAGGGTCTCTATGGGTCGGAACCGACTCTACGACACTTAACAATAAGCAATTAATTAACCTACGGAGCTAATAGGAGCTTGTCAGGAGAACAAATATTTAGTTCCAGGTAGACAGTTGGATAAAAAGTACAGTCAAGTTTAGCAAAACGTGAGTTAAATTTAACCACGCAGTTTCGGTCAAAAGGCTTTATGCATTTTTTCTTTACAAAGCATCCACAGTCTCTTCCCCAGCTAATGGATTTAAACGACTGACCTTTCAGTAGCAGTCTGATGCTTAACACAAGGTGCCACCAGGGCTCCTTAAGCTTCCACCATAAAAATAAGAGTACATTCATCCAAAAGTAAATGAAAAACTGAAATAAAAATAATATATCAATTAAATAGTTCAATGCTGATCTTACAGTGCCACGTATATATGTACAGAATAGAAATTGCTAACTGTGCAACATGTATGTTGTTGTTGTTAAGTGCTGTCAAGTCGGTTCCGACCCATAGCAACCCTGTATAGGAGGAGCTGGTAAACTTGAACAACTGACCTTGCAGTTCAAACAACTTTGCAGTCTGACGCATTAGCCAACATCGCCACACCAGGACTGTATTGTTGTTTTGTGCCTTGGAGTCAGTTGCGACTCATAGCGACCCTGTGCAGGGTTTCCAAGGCTGTAAATCTTTATGGGAGCAGAAAGCCTCATCTTTCTCCCACGGAACAGCTGGTAGTTTTGAACTGCTGACCTGGTGGTTCATAGCCCGATTTGTAACCACTACACTACCAGAGCTCCTTTGTTGTTGTTGTTGTTAAGTGCCTTCGAGTCGGTTCCGACCCATAGCGACCCTGTACAGGGTTTCCGAGGGTGTAAATCCTTACAGGAGTAGAAAGCCTCATCTTTCTCCCGCGGAGCAGCTGGTAGTTTCGAACTGCTGACCTTAAGGTTCGCAGCCCAATTCGTAACCACTACGCTACCAGAGCTCCTTAGATATTGTTAAATGAGAATCTAACTTGCTTTGTAAATTTTCTCCAAAATCACAATAAAATGTTAAAGAATTTAAGAAAGTCTTGGGATTTCCCCAGTGGTTCCCCTTAACAGGCAGGCACTATCTCTACCCTAAAAATGTTCTTCCTCTCTCTGGGAGAAATGAACACATAGTCAAATAGTCAAAATGGAGAAGTACATTAGAAGTTATTTTAGGGAACTGTTAACCTCTCATCAGTTAATCTGAATTGCTTTCTTTGTAACTCCTCTGTGGCTATTTTGAATGCTCCTGGATAGTAAGCCATTCTCCAGTAAGTCTGTTTACTTCTTCTCCAACCAGCTGAACTCTACAGTCTCACAGTGTATTACTGAGGTTCCCAAACCTGTTTGTGCTAGTTGTACTTGTTTGGCTTTCATATTTTACATAATCTGTAATCAATGAAACAGCTTGAGAATAGTATGTTTCTTTAGAAATCACATTTCATATTTTGGAAAGACTTAATAATGGTGTGAGTTATGTGTATAATAAGAAGGGGCTTCCAAAAAATTCACGAAAAAGTTCTATTATTTTTTAATTTCATTTTTTCACCAGCTTTTTGAAGACTCCTTGTTAGAATTCTAATCAGCAGGCCCATATGTAAAGAAAAAGCCTTGGGCTTTCTCACTAGATCAATAAATGAGCAGTTGCTTGTGTTAGGTTAAAATAAAAATGTTTTGGTTATTTGTGATACATATATATATATATATATTTCATAATTCTGTGGTTTAACCCATTTTTATCTTTTTTAAAATAACAATTTTGAGATCATAAAAATCCATCCTTAGAACGTGTACAATTCAATGTTTTAATAGACTTTTTCAATTTACTGATTGACGATGGGCTCAGACATATTGCACTATAAGGCAGCAGCAAATTAATTATACTAGGGAGGGGAATCTTTCAGACAAGGTTGTTAGAGTTTGAAGAGTCTTGAAAAACCAGTAGCACCTAAACAGGCTTATAAAGAGAAGGGTGTTCTACGTATAGTAAAGCAACGAAAAGTATGAAATTGTGTGACCCGTCCTTTTGTTTGGGTGGTTTGGGAATAGGGCTGTGATTTTGTTTGAACCTAATTAGGTATCTGAATCATCCACAGCGCTTAAAACAAACAAAACAAAAGTTAAACAAGTCCAGGCGGGGCTCCCAGAGATTCTGATTCAAGGTATTTCTGGGATGGGACCTTGAATCTATTGTTTAAATAAGTGCCTTTAGTTTTGCAGGTGTGGTGGCTCTTCAGGATAAGCACTGGACTGCAAATCACAAGGTAGGCCGTTGGAGCCTGCCAGCCGTTCCTGCTGTAGAAATAGGCTTTCTGCTCCCTCAAAGATTTCAAACCTATGTTGTTGTTGTTGTTGTTAAGTACCATGGTGTCGGTTCCGACTCATAGTGACCCTGCACAGGGTTTTCGAGGCTGCAAATCTTTAAGGGAGCAGAAAGCCTCATCTTTCTCCCACGGAACAGCTGGTAGTTTCGAACTGCTGACCCTGAGGTTCGCAGTCCAATTCATAATCACTATGCTACCAGAGTTCCTTAACCTCTACCTTATAGAGAGGGTCGCTATACAGATCAGTAGGAACACACTCTTTGGCACTTAACAATGAGTTCTGTTGTGCTAACAGGATTGAGAACCATTGGAGTAGGGTGAGGGCAAGCGTCAGAGATGTTAGAAGGAAGCATCCTTTGGCCTCTTCTTTGAAGACCTAATATTGTTTGCTCTCTCAGGGAGTAGCTGCATAATGTTTTAAAACACATGAACCTTGTACTCCGAGAATCCCATTTGCACCTTTATCACAGTCCTAAGGGAATACATGAGCTCTGTGGATATCAGTGAAGGGTGTCGGTCCTGTTAACAAGAAAGGCAAAATCAGCAAAAAGGGAAACAAGGTGGGTGAACCAATCAACTTGTTTCTGGAAAAGGCAAAAATAATACCACCACCACCAAAACACTATTTAAAAATCCCTCCCCACCCGCTCACCGCACCTCAAGGCCCTTTACCGGCACTGGAGGGCACAAACTACCAAATGGCAAGTGAGCTTCCCAGCTCTGGCTCTGGTGATAAAACTCGCGTGTCCTACCCACTCTGCTGGCTCCTAGAGCTACTAAAGCGTCCACTTCCAATGCAAAAGGGAGTCTGGGGCTGTATTCCAGAGGAGGTAGTCTGGAGAAGTCTCGCGCCCCTCCCGCGCCCCGCCTTTCTGATCCCAGCGTTCCCGCCCACCTTCCTCAGCTCCCGCCCGCCTCCCGCGCCCCCTCTCTCCCAGCCCAGGCCTGCCCGCCTCCCCAACATCCCACCAGCTGACCCGCCTGGCTCTGGCCAGAGGGGCCTTCCGTGGCCGTAGTTCCTGTTCCTCCTCTCGCTTCAGGGCCTCGGAGTGCTAACTCTACCAAATGCTCTGACCCGGAACTGCTGAGCCCGCGGCAGGCGCGCGGGCGGGCGCTTGGCCCATCTTGGGATTCCCCTGCTCGCGGATTTGGCACAGCGCGGTCCTCATGGAGCACGCGCCGCGGCCCCTGCCGACTCTCCAGAACACAGTGCTTCTCTGCGGCTGGTCGGCGGTGCAGTTTCGCGCGCTGCCTGCCAGATCCCGTAACCGTCGGCGGGTGCTCCACGGAAAGCCTAGGTCAGTGTCAGGTGGGCGTCCCGTCCGTCCGCGGTGAGGTAGGTGCGGCGAATGCTCACCGCTTCCAGGGTGAGACCGGGGTGGGACTCTGAGGGGGTGTGTAGCCGACTGTGGACTGCGAGAAGGCGAGGGCGGGAATAGCAGCCTGCAGTGTATGCATTTCCAACCAGACATCTCCCAGTGACTATGAGTTGTCGGCTGAGGGGGCCGGGTAGGTGAAGATTTGCATGTTGCGCCCCACCGACCCAGCACGCCTTAGAAGAGCAGGGGCAGGGTGGTGGCAATGGAAAGCCACGGGCAGAGGTACAGACGCAGTCTGTAGAACGGAAATTCAAAATACAAAGGCAAGGGTGGACGTCACCCCCTGGATTCTCTTAAAAGTTCTAAAAACTGGCCAAGAGATCTTCCGCGGAAGCATTGTAGGAGTGGAGGTTGGGAATGGCAGCAGGAGGAAAGAGTCTGCCTGGGGAGAATGATAACAGTGGATAGGAAGCAGTCACTTTTGTGAAATTGCCATGTTTAGTAGTGGTGGTGGTTCTTGGGTGCTCACTAGTGCATCCGACTCATAGGGACCTCTGTGTTACAGAGTGGTGCAGTTGTTGAAGTGCGTGGCTGCGACCTTAAGACCCAGGCAGTTCTCAGGAGTGAGATGAGGCAGTCTCTTTGCATCCATAAAGATCGAATCCACTGGAAGGCAGTGAGTTTTTCTTTTTTGAATCTTTATTGGAGCAGATCGCCAGGACATTCTTCCGAGGAGTGCCTGGGTAAATTCCAATCTCCAACCTTTGGTTAACAGCTGAGTGTTTAACTGTTTGCACCACCAGGAGCATTGTGTAAATCTTGAAGGGAAATGAATCCATCTTCTCAGCTTTTATCTCAACTTTAAAAAGCAAAAACACGTGATTTTTCAGGTGCAGCACCATTTAACCTGGTGAACTTAAGGAAGGGGTATTTCATATAAAGGGAGTGACCTAACATCATGACACCCTGACATTGAAAAGCAGAACTTTGTTTAAGTAGACAGGTAATTTCTCTACTATATCAAATTATATATATATTTGTTTTATAAATGTATATATTTGTTGTTGTTAAGTGCTGTGGAGTTGATTACAACCCATAGTGATCCTGTATAGGTTTGCGAGGAGTAGCTGGTGAGCTTGAAAGGCAGATCTTGTAGTCTGACACATTAACTCACAGCGCCACACCAGGACTATATATATACGTGTGTGTTCATATAGATATATACACACAACACACACATATATAAATATATACACACACATACATACATATATGGATCTATACAGAGCCACACCAGGACTGATTAGATAGATAGATAGATAGATAGATAGATAGATAGATAGATAGATAGATAGATAACTAGAAATAAACAATGGAGTATTGGCTCTCTTGAGAATTCGAGATTATTTGCAATTCTAGCCTGGTTGCCTGTCTGTATACTTTTAAACAGAAAATTGATGAAAAAAACCTGAGTGACATTAAGGTAATTGCACCTGCATACAGAAAGACATTCATCAAGGCGTTTATTGATCAACTCTTCACTGATGTTTACAGCTTTGAGTTTGAAGATTTACAAATGACATTGCAGGGAGACCTCTCAAAACAATCCACTGAAACAGACATGACTACAGTGCAGGAATTAGAAGAAATCAAGAATGAAATAGAAACATATTTGAGAAGTCTGCCCCCACTGAAAGGAGAATTAACCATTATCACATCTCCATTGATTCCAGGTATATTTAACACGATCTGTTGTCTTTCCATATGCCTGGGGATGAGGGAAGGAGCTTTTCTTAGATGTGGTTCACCACCTTGTTTCCTTCTTTTATTGATTGTTGTGGTATGGGATTTTGTATCAATTGCAACATAGAGTGTCAAGAGAGGAGGACTTGATGGCTATCTGCCCCTTCAAAGCCACACTAGTAATTTTGCCTTATATAGATTCAGCTTTAAGATATAGCATCTTCTCTTTAGAAATTCTGAAACTTTAACTCATTGGTGTGCTCATAAAAGAATGAAATTTAAAATAGTCTTAATTGCTTAAAAGGTATTAACTATGAGCTGTACGCTCTTGAGTCCATAAAAGCAAATGGTATTTTTGGAAGCTCAGTAATTCCACAGAGAAGGTAAGACAGACACAAAAGTTTGTAAGAGGAACACATGAGTTACAAAATACTCTAGAATTTAGAAGCCATGTAGGAAGTGCAGATTAAAGTGATCAGGGAGTGTCTTATGTAGAGACTGGGTTTTGTTATGCTTTATCGTCCATTGTTAAGGAGCTCTGGTTGCAGGAATGGGGCTGTGAACCACAAGGTCAGCAATTCGAAAGTACCAGCTGCTCCGCAGGAGAAAGATGAGGCTTTCTGCTCCCATAAAGATTTACAGCCTCGGAAACCCTGTGCAGGGTCGCTATGGGTCGGAACCAACTCGACGGCACTTAACAACAACATCAGCTTCGTCCATTGTATGACATTCTTTTTAATCTTCACAATGTATGTTCCAATAGGTATTTTCATACACGGGTTTACTACAAGAACAGGAGGGATATCTTACCTACCAACTCTCAGCTCATTAAATCTCTTCAGTAGTTCCAAACGGAGAGATCCTAAGGCCGTTGTTCAAGAAAATCTCCGGAGGTTGGCAAATGCTGCAGGATTTAATGCAGAGAAATTTTACCGGATAAAGGTAAACTCTTGTTTCATATTAGCCAAGACCCGAAGTACATTCTTGACTTGGCCAACGTCTGCATGGACTTCAGTCAAGCTCTCTAACTTTTGCATCTGATGTTTTGTCTAAAATTTTAGGATGATGTTTGCAGTTATGTGTATATATAGTAGCCTAAAGGTCAGTTTTCTCAGAAATGCTATACAGAGTCACTATGGATCAGAACTGACTCAACAGCACTTAACAAATATGAGTGTGGTGTGTATATGTTGTTAATTGTCCTTGAGTCTGTTCGACTCACAGGTGAAATATATACCACACCAAACTGATCTTTAGGCTACTGTGTATGGATGTACACGACCAGAAGCACTATAAAATTTTAGCTAAAGCATCAGATGTAAAAGTTGAAGAGTTTGATTGAGAAGTCCATATACTTGCTGGTCAAGTCAAGAATGTGCTTTGGAATCCTGGTGTGCTGCTGCAGGCTCAACACTGGATTGGGAACCACAAGGTTGTCAGTTCAAATCCATCAGATGGACCTTAAAACCCTATACAGTGTCATTGTGAGTCGTAAATGACTCGGCGGCACTTAACCATAACATATTTCACCAGGATCATCTCACTTTAAAAAGACAGTGAATTCTATCACTGTGACAGTGAAGTCCCAACACCCCTTTTGAATTAGAAAGAAGAGTCTGGAATAGTGGGAGCAAAAAGCCTGTTATTCCCTGCTCAACACTAGGAGAAGCTAGCGTCACAGTCAGTGAGACTGGAACAATACTGTGTTCCTTACAGAATTCTTATTGAATCTAGGAAAAGGTAGGAAGGACAATGACTGGTGGTGATAATTTCCTTTAATAAAGTAGTTCTTCATGGAAAATATTATAAGTAGAGATTTACTCCTCTCCAGTGAGAGGTTTTTCATGGTTGAAGGTTTAAATGTTAAAATCTATTTTCCTTTTAATAAAATATTCAGTGATTCTAATATCAAACACTTGAAAAATTAAATACTAAGTAAATTTGGTATTTTACCATATACAGTTGTCTGATGCCTAGTCAAATCTGACTCATAGCAACCCTGTAGGACAGACTAGAACTGCCCCCCTAGGGTTTCCTAGGCTGTGATCGTTACAGGGGAGTCCTGGTGTGGTGCTGCTGTGGAATAAAGCACTGGACCGCAAGGTTGGTTTGGACAATAAGGTTGGCAGTTCAAACCTACCAGCTACTCCTTGGAAACTCTACAGGATCGCTATGAGTTGGAACCTACTCCAGGCACTTAACAACAATAAATAGCCAAATCTTTTTTCCTGAGGATCCGCTGGTGGGTTATTCAGTTGGCAGCTGAGCTGCTTTAACCAGTGCACCCAGGGCTCCTTCCTTACCATATGTGTTGTTGTTGTTAATTGCCGTCAAGTCACTTCTGACTCATAGCGACCCTGTATAGTGTCTGAGGAGCAACTGCTGAGCATGAATTTCTTACCTTGCGGTTCAAAATGACTGCAGGCCAGTGCATTAACCCCCAGGTGTGGTTAGACAGATGAATTTTAGGGTATTGTTTGGTTTAACAAATGTCAGTTGTTGGGGAAACAATGCATTGTCAATGTTTGCAAAATACAAACAACCCAGGGAGGAAGTGGGAAGAGTGCTCTTCCATTGAAAAGATTGCAGTGGAAAGATGTATGAATTGCTGAATGGAAAAGGAATGTGCTCTGTAAACTTTCACCCAACACACAATCATCTTTTAAAAAACCAGAAAACAACAAATGCTGGTAAGCATGTGGAGAGATTAGGACCCTCCTACACTGCCGGTAAGGAGCTCTGGTAGCATAGTGGTTACAAATCGGGCTGCAAACTGGAAGGTCAGCAGTTCGAAACTACCAGCTGCTCCGCGGGAGAAAGATGATGCGTAAAGATTTACAGCCTCGGAAACCCTATTCATGGTCGCTATGGGTCGAAACCGACTCAACGGCACTTAACAACAACAACAACACTGCCGGTAAGAATGTAAAGTGGTGTCACTGTGGAAAAGCGGTATGGCTCTTTATCAAAAAGTTGAAAACAGAAATATTTTATGACCCAGCAGTCCCTCTCTTGGTATCCTCAAGAAATAAGAGCTGCAACATGAATAGATATATGCACACCCATGTTCATTGTGTGGTGCTGGAATGAATGCTAGTAATCTCAAAGTAGCTTTGTAATTTTATACTGGTTATGAGTAGTTGAAAACAAAAGTTTATGGTATAATAAAGCCCACTTTCAAAACATGTTTATTATATACCTTTGGTGTTAGACTGATCATGCCAATGACGTCTGGATTATGGGAAGGAAGGAGCCCGAGTCTTACGATGGAATAACCACAAATCAGAAAGGGGTCACAATAGCGGCTCTTGGTGCTGACTGTATTCCTATAGTATTTGCAGATCCTGTCAAAAAAGCATGTGGGGTTGCTCACGCTGGTAAGTATACTTGTCAGTCATTTAGGCTCTTCCTAGTTTTTATATGACAGGAAAAATGATGCAGTAATAGCTGCAAAAACCAGAACATGTATAAGAAGGAAACCTGGCACAGAAGGGAAACTCGAGTATTTATCACTGAAACGAGCAATTGTTGTTGTCTTTGTTGTGAAGTGACAACAGACAATAGAAAGGTGGAAAAACAACACTCTGTCAAAGGTGCGAAACTTGTGAGACCTGGAAAAAGTCTTGTCGCTGTTCATTCTTTATAATGACAGGCAATTAAACAGCTTACGTTGTGATAAATGTACCCTTACTGGGCTGTTGTCAGCTGCTGCCAAGTCCACTCCAGTTTGTGACAACTCTGTACTACAGAAAGATCCATAGCCCAGCCCTCCATCTTCTTCACAAGCTTTGGTATGCTTGAGTCCCAACCATTATGCATTTTGAGGTGTGGTGCTGTGGGATAAAGCACGGGCCCACCAGGTCGGTTTGAACCACAAGGATGGTGGTTAAAACTCACCAACTGCTCCTTGCAAACCCTAGGTAGGGTCACTATGAGTTGGAACTGACCCAATGGCACTTAATAGCAATCAACGTAGGGGCTCATAGTCCAGCATTATGCCAGACAAAATTCTGTTGTGATCTATTGGTTTTTCATTGGCTACTTTTCAGAAATAGATTGTCAAGCGTTTCTCCCTAAGCTTTCTTAGTGTAGAAGCTGTTGCTCTTCTGTGGTGGTTGCTGTTCCAATTCAAAATGACCCTGCTTGGAGTTTCCCAGGCTGTAAATCTTTACAGAGACTGAAAGCCTTATCTTTCACCCTTGGATCTGATGGTGGATTCCAACTGTTGACGTTGCAGTTTAACAGTCTGATGTGTAACCCACTCCATTACCAAGGCTCTTTCTAGAAGACATAGGAGCAGAAAAAAGGAGACCCATGTGTCAGACTGTATGAATTAGAGTAGAATTATCAAAGGAGGGAGTACCTAGGCCAATTCCTGAGGAATTACTAGGACTTGGCTAGGTACCAGTGTTTCTTTGCAAGCGTGCCGATGTCTTCTTGGGCAGAATAATCCTACACACAAAATACCAGTAGTCATTGTAATAACTACCTCCATGTTTTTCAAAACACTCCCTCAGTTTCAGATTCTTAGAAATACAAATAGCAGGGATATGAGTGTTAGGCAGATACAGCAACGTGTAAAGATAAAAGCTGGATATGTTTGGGAGTCTGTATTTAGTGTAGCATGACTGTCGTCTAGTTGGTCCAGCTATCTATCCTCTGAAGGTAAGAGTAAAGAAGAATTGTTCAGATACTGAATTGTTGGTGGCTCACACCCACCCAGTGGCTCCAATGCAGAAATGCCTGGTGATCTGCTTTCATAAAGGTTGTGATTGTTACTTGGCATCAAGTTGATTCCAACTTTTAGAAAACCCAGTGTAGTGATCTTACTCTGTAACACATGCAGTTGCCATGAGTTTAAATCAGCTCAATGGTTATATATTGTTATTAGTGTTAAGTGCCATCGAGTCGGTTCTGACTCATAACAACTCTGTATGAAGTTTTTCCATGGAGCAGATGTTAAATTTGAACCACCAACCTTGTGGTTAGCAGTCTAGTACTTATTCTACAGCACCATGCCAAGACTGTGTTAAGATTATAGAATTTTTGTTTCTAGAGATGTTTTCAAATTGGATCTAGATTGTTAGTGGACATGATTCTCCATGCTTGCAGATTGCTTTTTAGATCATACATAGAGAAGTTAAGTGATGGATTTTCTTCCTGACCTAGTCAGGTTTGTCAAATGATGTTGATGGAGTTATTTTAAATTTGAATCTCAGTTCTTGGGTATGAATTGGAATTTTATTTGTTACTAAGCGTATTCTTCGATTTCTGTCTTTGGTAACTGGATGAGAGTAAGAATAAATAAAACAGTTTGATCTTAGAACAATCACAGGAACCATTGAAAAGGAAAGTTGAATCAATGGGGAAGGTGTGGGAAATGTTACTTGAAATAGAACTGGTTTACTTTATTGTAAAAAGTAAAGGGGAGAGAGAGAAGACTAGGAAAGTGTAAGCCCAGAGGAAGGAAAAGCATAGGATATTTTTAAAAGGAAATGGAAGGGAACTGTCATTAAATGTCCTTTCTTTACCAGATGTTTTATACAGTGCATTTCATTTAAAAAACAGTCCTATAATGTGAAAACTTTGTGATCCATATATTGTTTTGGGAATTTAAAGAAATACACAAACCAATGTTGTTCATTTTACCTTAGATGTAAATTGAGATGCAATTTTGTTCAGTTGTAATGTTTCCTTTCCTCTTTTTCTTCCTGTTTACCAGGATGGAAGGGCACGCTGTTAGGTGTTGCTATGGTTACAGTGAAGGCTATGATAACAGAATATGGCTCCAGTTTGGAAGACATTATTGTTGTGCTGGGCCCTTCAGTGGGACCTTGCTGTTTTACACTTCCAAGGGAATCAGCAAAGGCATTTTATAATCTTGATCCCAAATGTGTACGACTGTTTGAATCACCAAATCCCTATATTGACATCCGTACAGCCACCAGGTATGTTTGATTTCATCTGGAACTACAAGTTTGGTTATTGCTTATTGCTTCTAAAATCAAAATCACTTCAGAAAATGATTAACAACTCCAAGGACACTTCAGTTAATAGACTTTTAAATATCTGACATGCATATGTTCACAAAAACTGACTTAATATGAGGGAAAGTCAAAAAATATGCTGCTAGGCTTCCAGTTCGTACGTGCATGGGTTTATTCCAAACAAAACGTGTAAACATGGCTATACCATCAATGGAGTCATGGTATGGCACTACAGGGTAAGCACTGGACTGCTAACTAATTGCAAGGCTGGTGGTTCAGACCTATCAGCCACTCCTCAGAAATGCTATACAGGGCCACTCTGAATCAGAACGGACTTGTCAGTACTTAACAACAACAACAACACGTGATCAGTGAATGACTGCACATAAGCTCTTGCAGTAACGTACTTACCTTAGTTTCCATAAGGTGCCTTAAAAAACAAAATGATCCAATCAAAGTAATGGCTTCTGAGGGGATCTGCTGCCCCAGTTGAATCCAAGACAGAGAGGTCAGCTTGGAAGCTTATAGCAACTGTTTTGGCGGATTCTAAAGGAGTAATTTGAAAGACTTCCTCAAAGGGCACCAGACAGTCACAGGACCTAATAAAGAAGTTTTAAAGAAAATGGAAAACTACATTGATGAAAAAAGACCAGAAAATACTGGGGAATTTTTTCCCATCACATCAGTATACCTCTCATTTTCAAGGGTAGTAAGAAATCTTGGTGACATTGTGGGATAATGCACTATACCACAAGGTTGGTGGTTCAAATTCACCAGCCTCTCCTTGGAAACCCTATACAGAGTTGCTGTAAGTTGGAACTGATTGACTTGACAGGACTTAACAACAACAAGGGCTCACTTAGGGGAATTTCATTGGGAAACATCATCTACCCTACAGCCCTGGTGTCATTCTCTTAAGAAGTCTTTTGGTTCCCCAAACACAAAATAACATTGAAAAGGAACATGATTTCAGTTCCACAAAGATGCCAGAACTAACTGCTCTTTTGATGTGCAGAATTTTTTAGGGAGGGCTGTCTGTTAGGTGCCATGGAGTCAGTACCAACTCATAGCAACCCTATCTATGCACAACAGAATGAAAAACTGCTTGGTCCTAAGTTAACCTCACAATTGTTGCCATGCTTGAGCCCATTGATGCTGCCACTTGGCCAGTCCATCTCGCTGGGGGTCTTCTTTTTTTCTGACCCTCCACCTTACCAAACATGATATCCTTCTCCAGTGACTGGACCTTCCTGAAAATATGTCCGAAGTATGAGAGACGAAGTCTGGCCATCTTGTCCTCCAAGGAGCATTCTGGCTGTACTTCTTCTAACACAGATCTGTTTGTTCTTTTGGTAGCCCATGGCACTTTCAATATTCTCCTCCAACACCATAACTCAAATGCATCAATTCTATGATCTTCCTTATTTACTGTCCAACTTTCACTTGCATATGAGGTTATTGAAAATATAATGGCTTGCGTCAGGTGTACCTTAGTCTTCAAGCTGACATCTTTGCTCTTCAACACTTTAAAAAGATCCTGTGCAGCAGATTTGCCTAATACAATACGTCGTTTGATTTCTTGACTGCTGCTTCTGTGAGTGTTGATAGTTGATCCAAGAAGAATGAAGTCCTTGACAACTTCAATCTTTTCTCTGTTGATAAGAATGTTGTTTATTGGTCCAATGGTGAGGATTTTTGTTTTCTTTACATTGAGATGCAATCCATACCAAAGTTTGTACTCTTTGATCTTCATCAGTGGATGTTTTAAGTCCTCTTCCCTTTCAGCAAGCAAGGTTGTATCATCTGCATCTCACAGGTTGTTAATGAGTCTTCCTCCAATCCTGATGCCATGATTTTCTTCATATAACCCAGCTTCTTGGATTATTTGCTCAGCATACAGGTTGAGTAATTACAGTGAAAGAATACAACCCTGTCACACACCTTTCCTAATTTTAAACCATTCAGTGTTCCCATGTTGTGTTTGAACAACTGCCTGTTGGTCCAGGTACAGATTGCTCATGAGCACAATTAAGTGTTCCGGAATACTCATACTTTGCAATGTTGTCCATAGCTTGTCATGATCCACACAATCTAAAGCCTTTGTGTAGTCAATAAAGCACAGGTAAAGCATCTTTCTGGTATTTTCTATTTTCAGCCAAGATCCATCATATATCAACAATGATATCCCTCATTCCACGCCCTCTTCTGAATCCAGCTTGAACCTTTAGAAGTTCTCTGTCATGTATGCTTGCAGCTGTTTCTGTGTTACCTTGAGTAACACTTTATTCACATGGGGTATCAAAGACATTGTCCGATGATTTCCACATTCCGTTGGGTGGCATGGGCACAAATACAGATCTCTTCCAATCAGTTGGCTAGATAGTTGTCTTCCAGATTTCTTGGCATAGATGAGTGAGTGCCTCCAGTGCCACCTCATTTCGTTGAAAGATTTCAATTTGTATTCATTCAGTTCCTTCAATGCGTCTTGGGCTTCTTCCTTCAGTATCATTGACTCTTGATCATATGCTACCTCTTGAAATAGTTGAACATCAACCATTTCCTTTTGGTACAGTGACTCTGAGTATTCGTCCATCTTCTTTTGATGGTTTCTGCATCATTCACTAATTTACCCAGAAAATCCTTCAATAATAAAGTCGAATTTTTTCTTCAGTTCCCTCATCTTGAGAAATGCTGAGTGTGTTGTTCCCTTTTGGTTTTCTAACTCCAGATCTTTGCACATTTTGTTATTGTAATATTTGACTTCGTCGTCTTGAGCTGACCTTTGAAATTTTCTGTTCAGCTCTTATACTTCCTTATTTCTTCCATTTGCTTTAGCATCTCTACACTGGAGAGCAAGTTTCAGTGTCTCTTCTGACATCCATCTTGGATCTTTTCTTTCTTTCTTGCCTTAATGACATTTTGCTTTCTTCTGTATGATGTTCTTGATGTCATCCCACAACTCTTTTGGTCTTTGGTCTTTAGCCTTTAGTGTCTAATGTATCAAAGCTCTATGGAAGGGCTAAAGAGATGGAAACACTACCTTCTGAAGCCTATAGACCATCTTAGATGGAGGATGTGTTGAGAAACGGTATTCAAATTTGATACATTTTTAAAAATTAAGGTTTCTATGATATTGTACCAATGTTGATGTACCATCATATATTAAATCTGTTCTTATTTCAGTTTAAATAACAGAAATTTTCCTATCTGGTGTCTCCTATTCATTTAAAAGTCAAGGAAAAAAACAGTTGGCTTATAGTTTTATAAGAACTATTTTTAACTTCCAGGAGAAAAATGAGGTTTTCTACTCCTGCAAAGATTTACAGCAAAGGTGGGGAACCTTTTTCTGCCAAAATTTATAACATCAATCATGGCCCTTACAAAATTTTCAACTTAAGAACTGTTATACTTGGTCAAACATTTAATTAACCCACCCCTAATGTGATTACTAAGGAGCTCTAGTAGCGTAGTGGTTACGAGTTGGGCTGCCAACCTCAGGATCAGCAGTTCGAAACTACCAGCTGTTCCACAGGAGAAAGATAAGGCTTTCTGCTCCTGTGAAGATTTATAGCCTCAGAAACCCTTTGCAGGGTCACTATGAGTCAGAATCAAACTCCACGGTACTTAACAACAACAACAACAACAACGTGGTGACTGGGAGTCCTGGTGTAGCGCTGGGGGTTAATGCACCAGACCACAAAGCCGTTTGAACTGCAAAGTCAGAGGTTCAAACTCACCAGCTGCTCCCCAGAAACCCTATACAGGGTCACTATGGGTTGGAATCGACTCGATGGCACTTAACAACAACAATGTGATGGCTGGAGTCCTGGAGTGGTGCTGTGGGTTAATGTATCAGACGGCAAAGTTGTTTGAACTGCAAGGTCGGTGGTTCATGCTCACCAGCTGCTCCTTGGAAACCCTATACAGGGTCACTATGGTTCAGAACAGACTTGACGGCACTTCACAACAACAACAATGTGATGACTGGAGTCCTGGTTTGGCACTGTGGGTTAATGTGCTGGACTGCAAAGTCAATTTGAACCACAAGGTCGGTGATTCAAGCTCAAGAGCTGCTCCTGGGAAACCTTATACAGTGTCACTATGGGTTGGAACTGACTGGACAGTACTTAACAACAAATGTGATGGCTGGAACTGCAGTTGCCTTGGCAAGTCCAGACCAAATGATGTCCCGGGCTTTATACTACCCATGGGCTGGATATTCCCACCCTTGATTTACAGCCTTGGAAGCCTATACAGAGTTGCTATGAGTTGGAACAGACTCCAGTGCACTAACAATAACAACAACTTTTAACATCATATAAAATCAGTATGTACTGTTCTTCACCACCATTTCTCAGCTACATTTTCTAATTATAACTTATGAATTTTAGAGCTACCATAAAGCTGATGCCGAGTCATAGCAACCCTGTAGAGAGTCCAAGACTAAGTCCTTATGGGAGCAGACAGCCTACTCTCTGTCCTGTGGAGTGGCTGGTGGGTTTGAACTATTGGGCTTGAGGCTAGTATGCCTATGGCTTAATCCACAGTGTGCCCAGAACTCTTTAATAAACTGCGAGGAAGCTGATATTTAAACATGATTCATTTTCTCCATAAGTTGTTGTTAGTGCCGTCTTTACAGTTCAGATACGTAATGACCCTGTATAGGTTTTCCAAGGCTTTAAATCTTTGCATGAGCACAAAGCCTTATCTTTGTTTCATGGAGCAGCTGGTGGACTTGAACTGCAGACCTTGTGATTCACATTCCAGTGCTTATCATATGGAGCTACTGCATTCCCATAGTCTCTAAGTAGAATATATTTCTTAATAAAATTATTAGCCATTTTGAAAACATCTTTATGGTTGGTGCCTTACATTCTAAAAACAAACAAACAAAAAAATGGTGTTTTGCTATTAGTATCTGTATAAAAAAAAAAAAAAACAACGTAATTTTCACAAAGGAAAATTGCGGTCTGATTTAAATTATGTTTCTATTCCAGTCTTCAAAACCTTGTCCATATTCTGCCTAATTTAGTATATAAGTATAAAGGATTAAAATTGATTTTTAAATGTGACTTGTGGAGTAAGTATCACTAACTTGTAATTAGATTTCATATAAATTGTTTATGGAGAAGCAAGTTTTCTGTGGAAAATGTCACTAAATATGAGTAAAGGGGATATGAAGGCTGTATGACTAAAAAGCATGCTATGTCTGAAGCAAATGAACCTTATCTACAAGACCTGATAACTTTAGAAGTCTCTACTTAAGTAAGTCATGGATTTTTATTATAAGATTCTGTTCTCGAATCTTATAATATATAATAATCTTATAAAGACACAATGGTAGGAATAAAGTTCATGTATGACTTGTATGATGAATACTAATAAAATTTACCATTTCCTTACTAGTTCTGTAACTGAATAGCAATTTGCTTTGTTCCAAACCAACTTCCTAGAATGCTTTCACACCAGCATCCATGCTATTTTTTCATATTGTTTTGGCTATTAGTAAAATAGTCTCATGGTATGTTTTGCAAACTTTTTACCCAAAGGGTTCTTCTAGAACGGGGAGGAATTCTTCCACAGAATATTCAGGACCAGAACCAGGATCTCCACCTCTGTACATCCTGCCATCCTCACAAGTTTTTCTCTCATGTTCGAGATGGTCTTGGCTTTGGTACACAGATTGGCTTCATATCCATTAGAGAATGAGGTACGTCCTCTCCCCTCACTCTCAGCCTCATCTCTGTCTTTAACCGTTTCATCTCCTCATCTTTAAAAATAATTAGGGCATTTCAAGGGACGATTCATGCTAAAAGGAACCGTGGTGGCACTTTAGGATTAGCACTGGACTGCAAACTACAAGGTCGGCAGTTTAAACCCGCCAGACTCTGCGTGGGAGAAAGCTGCTCTCTTCCCGTAAAGTTTTACAGCCTGGAAAACCCAACACGGTCACTGTGAGTCAAAATTGGCTCAGTAGTAGTGAACTTGTATTTTGGTTTTTGGTTTATTCATGCTAAAGGAGTCCTGATAGTGCACTGGGGTACTAACTGAGAGGTCAGTGGTTCAAATCCACTAAATAAAGGTCCAGATTTGATCCACAGGCTATATGTCATTCGCTGACCCCTGGTCCACAGTTAGAGAGCAAGAATGAATGTAATTTCATTAAATTCTATTTATTATGTATTAATATTAAGGAGCTCTGGTAGCATAGTGATTACAAATCGGATTATGAACCGCAAGGTCAGCAGTTCGAAACTACCAGCTGCTCCGTGGGAGAAAGATGAGGCTTACTACTCCCGTAAAGATTTACAACCTCGGAAACCCTGTACAGGGTCGCTATGGGTCGGAATCGACTCCATGTCACTTAACAACAACAACAACAACCAATATTTATGTTTTATTTATGTATATAGAATCTGGCTTGCTTAGAATTAGATACAAAAGTATTTCATGATCTAGCACTTGCCCCGTTAGCATAGATCTAATTTTCCTTAAGATTACATTTAACTGGATTAATAATCTTTTTAGTCTTTATAATTGCTTTATCTCTTTAATATACAAAAAGCTTTTATTAAAGTTTATGATCCTTAAACTTTTATTCTAATAGCACAAGTAAAGGTCTCATTTTGGATTTTATGTGTTTTTACAGGTACTTGACTGGATGTTTTTATAAATGTTTCCTTCCTCCCTGCCAAACTGATGTCGGGAGAGCATTTTAGCTGTTTGCTTTATGTAAAGCCAAAAGGAGTCCAGTGGAACATTCTTCATTGGGGTCAATTTTCACTACTATTCAGAGCCAAATAATTTTCATTTGTTTCTAACAGTGGCTGATTAAAAAAAAAAAGTGTGATGTAGCTAATGTATTCCACAGATGAGGATTATTAAAAACTCAACTTTTGTTTTTAGTCTAAGTACTGCTACTTCCAGCACATGTAAAGTAATAGTTGTCAAGCTGTTCAGAAAAGAAATTAAGTTTGCAAATCAAATTGGAGTTCATGGCATGAGTTTTTTTTGGGAAATGCTAATTATCAAATTGAAGTTTATTAGACTAGTTGTAATTTTAAATTGTAAAAACTAGAACAGTGAGTGACAAAATATAATACACTTCAGTGCTTCATAAAACAAATGTGAAAATGATGTTGAGTTAGGTCCAACTCAGGGACCATGTCTAGGGTTTTCAAGGAGCAGCTGGTGAACTTGAACCGCCAACCTTGCAGTTCAAACTGACCTTGCGCGTTAACCCGCAGCGCCATACCAGGACTCTGATATTACCACTAGGAGTCAGTATTTTTTCAAGTAGTTCTTCTCTGTTTTTTAGTTTAAATTTGAACCAATCCTAATCTTTCTCTTAGCTTGTACCACATCCACACACACATGAAGACACTATTTTTCTATTTGCTGTTGAATAGGTTCTGACTCATAGCGACCCAGTATAGGGTTTCTAAGAGTAGCTGGTAGCCTTGAACTGCCGACCTTGCAGTTAATAGTTCAGTGCTTATCCTGCAGCACTATACCAGGAGTCCATAAAGACTAAAGCAGAAGCAATACAACTTCAGTGTCTCTCTTTCTCATAAGACACTATTGCTATTGTTGTTGAGTTGTTTCCCACTTAAAGCGGCTCTGTGTAGGGTTTCTGAGGCTGTAAATCTTTGAAGGAGCAGAAAGCCTCATCTTTCTCCCACAGAACAGCTTGTGGGCTTGAACTGCCAACCTTGTGGTTCACAGCCCAGTGCTTATCCTATAAAGCCTCTGCGATCCCTCATAAAGTACCTCGAGTCAATGTATTACTTCCACTTTAGGTTGAAAGTAGTGTATGTAGTTCAGGTAGATAAAAGCATTTAGGGACCTTGTGTTGCCCTCACGGTTTCTCTTATAAAATCTCCAATAACTACTTTTCTGTCAATAATTTCTTTAAGCCCAGAAGCTTATTCTGTGTCACGTGACAAAAACAAATACTCATGACATCAAGAACTGGAAGCTATGACAATGATGTATGAATTCCATCATTATATCTCATAATGAGATTTGCTATTTGTTTTTACTTGATGGATCTAAAGTTATACATACTTACAGTGTATTCATCCTATTTTTTGTTTGCATGAACTTTTAGAGAATATATCAAAGTACAGTAGTTTAAACCTGGTTCAGTTATCTCTGTATTTGTTTGTAGCTATAAGGACTCTGAAGTCAGTCCTGGTGTGGCGCTGTGGGTTAATGCACCAGACTGCAAAGCTTTTTGAACTGTAAGGTTGGTGGTTCAAGCTCACCAGCTGCACCTTGGAAATGCTATACAGGGTCACTATGGGTCGGAATCGACTTGACGGCACTTAACAATAATAATAAGGACTCTAAACCCTATACAGGGTCACTATGGGTCAGAATCAATTCGATGGCACTTACCAACAACAACATAAGGACTCTTGTTGTAGCTCTGTAGGATCAGCGCTGGACTGCAAACCACAAGGTCGGCAATTCAAACCTACTAGCTTCTTGGAAACCCTATACAGAGTGACTATGAGTCAGAACTGACTCGATGGTGCTTAATAACAAACAACACCATGCATGGATCAAGGAGCTCTGGTAGTGTAGTGGATTATGAGTTGGGCTGCTAACCACAAGGTCTGCTGTTTGAATCTACCAGCTGCTCCATGGGAGACAGATGATGCTTGCTGTTCCCATAAAGATTTACAGCCTCAGAAACCCTATACAGAGTCAGAAACCCTATACAGCATCACTGTGAGTGGAAACATGACTCCATGGTACACAACCACCACCACCACCATTGTTCATGAATCAGTGTGGATGTGTTACATGGCAAACAAGAAATCTAGAAATGTGTAGATGTTAAGTATGCTATATAATTTCTTTGTGGAGTCCTGTTATGGTACTGTAGGATAAGCACTGGACCGCAAGATCAGTTTGAACCATTACTCCTTGGAAACCTTATGATTGGGAACTGACTTGATGACATTTAGCAATGACACTAATCTCTTTGCCCTTACATAGATTCACATTGGATTCCATGGAATCATAGATTTCTGTACAAATGTTTTGTAAATAATAAAGAATGGGGTGTACAGTTCATGTGCTTACTGCATGTGTTTATGGGAGTCTATGTCATGTACATATATTTGTGCTTTTAAATTGTTTTCAAGTCCCTGGGTTGTGCAAATGATAACTTTGTTCTTCTGCTAACCGGGTAGTTGGAGATACAAGCCTACTCAGAAGGACTTCAGAAGAAAGGCCTCGTGATCTACTTCTGAAAACTCAACCATTGAAAATCCTGTGGAGCACAGTTCTCTTCTGTCACAAATGGGATTGCCATGAGTGGGAGTGACTGGCAGCTATTTCTGTGATTTGAACTATAAGGCAGCTGCGTTAAGCAATGCATTGTTCTGTGCTAGATCATTGCTTAATGAAAGAACAAGAATAAGTTAGTGCTGCTTTTTTTGGGATTAAAATATTGACTTTTGACTCATGGAGATCACATGTTCACTGAATGGAGACAGACTTCTCCCACTCTCCCTAGATGTCCTTTTTTTTTATTAAGAAATGCTTTCATCACATTCTCTATACCTTGTGCCAAGTGCCTGAGGTGAACTGTGTCTTTTTTGTGTCTGAGCAGACTTAGTTTTACTTAGTTCTCATAAATGTGGAGTGTCCAGCTACTGTTTTATTAAAAGTTCCAGGTGACACTGTAACTCAAAATACCATATTTCATTCTAATAACAACTTAGGAGTAGTCTCATTTCATGAGAACTAGTTCTAGAAAGTAGATTTGCTCATGGTGGTGTGGTGCAGTGAATTATTTAATATGGTTCTTCTAGCCATAGCCTTTGTAACTCCGCCAAATGATTGGGTGGCATCGTGCCGATTTCAAGGTGCTTCCTCTTTTGCTGATGAGATTGGGTAATAAAGTGGGGGAAGATGCTGATAGGATTATATGATTCAATTGTGAGTGATTGTTGACAGAATTGTAGAAACTTGGAGCTCTAATGTGGGGATTGGTCAGTTTTGCCATCCTGCTGAGTATAAAATAAGCCATCTCAGAAGCAGGAGGTGAGGTCCCACTTAACATCAAGAAAAAAAGAAGAGTTGAGTGGTGTTCGGTACCCCAAGATCTTTGTGCATTGAAACTCCTCCAACCAAGGACAGAAAGCTGTGGCACCAGACAAGTGGGAGCAGCAGAATCAAGAGCAAGAACGACTTAGGCCCACAGAGTGAATAAAGTGGGCTGTCTTTGGGCAGGAGGTTCTTTTATAGAGTGAGGTATCATCAAGCACTTAATTGCAGGAGCTAAGTTGGTTGGCCCACAGACCTAAGCCTGGGACTGAGGCTTACAGTGGAATGGAATGTCCATTCAGGCATTTGTCAGCAGTGCTAAAAGAGCTTTGTAATGTTGCCTACCCACGGCAGAGGCCAGGTATGGCTGAGAAGAAATGTACGCTGGACGTTTCTAGTCCTGTTAGCTTTCCTAGTAAACCTCATAATCATACTTACGGTCTGAATTCTGTGTGGCCATTGTAATGAATTACTGAACTCAGATGACAGACGGTGTGTGGGTGGGGTGGTTGGTGTCAGATTTGATAGGGGTAGGAAGGCAGAGGCATGTCTGACATTAGTCTCATAGGAATTGGCCTTGACATCACCTCGTGATGTCAGAGGTGGTCAGATGCCTTCCCCAGGCCATTTTTACAGTGACAAGTGAG